AAGTGGCTTTTTTCACACATACACACAAACACAAACACACAACTTTTAAATTCTGAATGATGTATATATGAGGAAGAGGAACACTTTAACAACTGTACCAACCAAATAACGTGCAGTAGGTTAACAAACAACTGGGGGATGAAATTCCATTGCAAGCCAGAAGACAGGGAAAGGTGAGACCCGTGGAGTGATCAACATTCAAAGACAGGGAGAACAAGGACAGGACCCCCAAAGGGAATCATGCCAGCCCCTCTGTCAGGGCCGCTGTACATTGGGCCATGAGCCACACAAACCCAGAAGCATCTGCCAAATGTCTCAGACAGCTGTGCAAGCACTCTCTGCCATTTGCTCAGCTGTTGTGAAGTGAGAGAGACACGTATTCCCAGAGTCCCACCAAGTAGATTTCTTCTTCAATTCAGAACAATGTGATTCAAATGTAAATTTTTTTATCAGTTCTGATTTTGTCACTCTGAATATAAATTTACTCGATGACTACATATACTGCTTATTTTGCAACTAGCAGAGGTAGCTAGAATACATGATGCCATATTAAAAAATGGGTAATGCTGAAGAAATAAAAATAAATCATTCTTTTCACCTAAGAGCCAAGTTACTGCTTAGAAAAGTAGATACCTATTCACCTGGCAGTTCAAAATGTCTTGAACGTAATTTGTCAAAATTCCATCACTTTCCTTCCTTTCTGGGATATGAGCATCACAATTTCAAAGAAAATTATTTAATGGTGAAATCTCAGTTTATAGCAAAGCCAACTCACCTTATATATATCAGCACAGTTATTATGTTGTGGAAACGAATTCAATGGACTTGTTAAAAATGTGACCTGCTCCTTCCCACCAAAGGAGGGAAAAAGAAAAAAAGGAAAAGAAAACCCTCAAAAGAGAAAAAAAGGCTTTACTGACTGATCTTTGCTCCCTTTCACATTTGTTATAAAGACTCAGTGTGTGGGAGTTAATTATATTAATCTTGGGTAACAAGCTATCAATTTTGTGCTTCAAAGTTATTAACCACCTTTCTATATACAGTTCGCAGGCGAATGAATGGACTTAATCTCTGTATTAAAACACAAAACAAATGAAATAATCCCATGTTTCATGACTTTTCAAAGTTGATTATCTCCTTGCAATGCTTTACCAGAGGCCAGAAACACAACCACCACTTTAGAAAAGAGCCTCTAGCAGTTGATAGAGACGCCTGTGAAAGTGGACTTGACCACACTTTTATAACCATTCCTCTTCAGACCAGACAGAAAATGTCACCAAGGAAAAGCATTTTTTTCCAATGATTCAATCATATTGAGTTAGTAAAATCTCTTCTTCCAATGACTGCACAACTCCTGAGAGAGCTAGCATTTGCAATTTAAACAATTCAGTGGAGGAAATAAAATATTTAAGATGGTAACACTTACTGTCAAGAGAAATTTGTAGATTTCTATATTTTTTTTTTGGTCATGTCTAATTCTTCAGGGCAAAACACAACATTATTTAATTCTAAAGCTACAATTTTACATAGATGATGATCTTTATCTCTCAATTACCACAGGACATTTTACTTGTAAAAAGCATTACACATGTAAAATAACTCCAGTAAATGAAAGAGTTATTACCATCAATCATGATGCTTATCTGCATTTTAGGGTCTCTGTGCTCTAACAAGAGCAAACAGTAGTTTAGTATACCAATATTCTCATGGGGAATTTACAATGATTTATTTCTCTGATTTATTAAAGCCTAGTCATAGCTCAAAGTTCTCTGAATAACCATAAAATTAGGAAACCAGTGCCATAAAATTAAGAAATAATAGCAAAATCTTCATACAGGAAGCAATCCAAAAAGATAGTACCTATTAGAAATTACTTACATTATACAAATACTATTTCAAACGAAAACTTTAACTAAGCTATATATAACTATGCTTTCATGAAAGTTTTTTTGTTCTATTGCTATAGAATATACCTTATTTTTTTGTATAATCATGTTTTTCTTTTAAATTCATCCTGAGATAAGGTGTAAGTGAAACTATTTCTTTCTATATGATTCTTTTTTGAAGTTTTCTGATTTCAAATATAGTAAATTAACGAGTTTAGCATAAAAAAATCAGTAATTTGACAAGGTTATATAATCACTGTTCAATAGCTATCAGATAGTAAACAACTGAGTGGAATCTAATGTTTAGGAAGTTATTCTCAGAATAATTAAGTGGTATTATTATTATTATTATTACTATACCTGATGTTTAAATAAATTAAAAGCCTAAATATTTGAAGATAAATTTTAGCATAAAAATATATATAATGCAAACTACAGCCCATTAAAATTCTCTCTCCTGCTATTTTTTTCAATGACACAATATATGAAAAAGTTTATTACATTTTGAAGAAAATACTTGTGGAAAAGCTATTTAAAATAATGGAATGAAAACAAAAGCTCAAATAGAAAAAAGGAAAAGGAAATATGTTTATAAAAACTGTACATTTATGCAAAGGGCCATAAAATATGAATAAAGATAGATAATTTATTGTTGGATGGGAAAGCTCAATTTTATATATTTTGTACCTAATATAAATTATAAGCTCAATACAATTTCAATGAAATCAGCAAGAGATTTTCTCAAGAATAGGGAGAAGGAAGAATTCCATGAGTTTAAATGAAGGGTGAGATGGCTAAGAATCGTCAATAAACGACAAAAATAAAACCTTACTGAATCAAGGATTTTCAATTCTAATAATTATTTTTAACTAGTAAGATAACTGTGCAAAGGATGTTTCCAGCAGCACTTTAAGATAGCTAAAAACTGTAAACAAGCTATTAATATGGGGCTGCTTAAGCAAATAATGTCTCATCCATACAATGAAACACTCCCCTGTCATTAAGAATGATAACAAGTTTCTGGATTTATTGTTCAATGAAAGGTGTTAATTAAATGTTAAGTGAAAAAAAGCAAGTTACAAAATAGTATATAAGATATTCAATTTTTTTAACATGCGTAGAAATGGAGGATATACATCAAAATACTGAATGTGGTTTTCTCTGGATAGTAGGATAAAGGGTGATTTTTCAGGTGTTTTTTACTTTTGTGGCATTGTAGGAATTTTCCCTTATAAAGATGCACTACTTTTACAATCATAAGACATTATTTTAACATTATGGGTGGGAATTTATGGATAACAAATAATAATTAAGTAAAAGTGAAAGGAAGTGGACACAGACAGCGTCTGGGAGAAGAACCCAACAGGACAACACTCTGAAGAAGGCTTCTATAATGTTAGGGACTCTGCCATCTGTGCATCTGCTGTGAGTGTGCAGAGACGCCTGGGGTGGAGGAATCCCGTGGGCTTTGATTTCCTAGTTTCCACTCTCCTCTTATTATTATTTTACTGATGATGGAGTCTTAATTCATATCTCTACACTCTACTGCGGTCCTTATGCTTAATATGAAAACTATATTTCAATGCTGCACTTACATATCTAAAATGAATGATAATCCAATAAGTACATCTCTTGACACAGGCCATACTAAAATCTGCATCAGTGATTTTATACGGTAGTTTTATTAAAGAAGGAAAAAGCATGAGAACGTGGTTAACTGCTACAATGTATACAGTTTGAATCCTTTTAACAACCTTAATTTGTCTTGCTTTGATTCCATATTTTAAATAACAGGCTTACAGGAATATTAGCTAATGTGGAAGTTCTACTGAAAAAAATATTCAGTATAAAAATGATTTTATATAAATAATAACATCTTGTATTTATGAGGTATTAACTATGTGCCAGGCATAGTTCTAAAAGCACTCAGTAAAGTGTAGAAATGTGTATATAGGGTAGAAAGTCAATTATTCCACAAAACAGCCTATGAGGCAGGCGCTGTCCTTATTCCTCCTTTCACCCATAGGAAATCAAGGCTCACGGAGCTAAGGCCCTGCCCAAGCTGAACCCAGACTGTCTGGCTCCAGAATACATTTTATTAATTTTTTGCAGATTTAAAAAAAAATTTACAAGTTTTAAATGTCAGAACAGTTTTATAGAAAAAGTTGTGAAAAATAGTACAGAGAGTTTCTATATACTCCTCACCAGTTTCCCCTATTGTCAAAAATCTTACATTATACGGTGCATGTGTCACAACGAAGGAACACACATTGGTATGCTGATATTAACTAAACTGCACATTTCATTTGGATTTCACTAGTTGTTCCCTAACGTTCTTTTCCTGTTCCAGGATTCTATCCATGATAGCACATTACATTGAGTTGTCCAGTCTCCCTAGCCTCCTCTGGGCTGTGACAGTTTTTCAGACTTCCCTTGTTTTCAATGACCTTGACAGTTTTAAGGGGTACTATTGAGGTACTGTGTAGAATGTCCCCCAGTTTGGGTTTGTGCGATGTTTTTCATGATTATACTGGGATTATGGTTTCCGGAGGAAGATCACAGAGGCAAAGTGCCGTTCTCAATACCTTGTACCAAGGGTCCGCGCTACCAATGTGGCTTATCTTTGATGATGCTGGTCTTAAAGACCTGACTGAGGTACCGCTTGCCCAATTTCTCCATTTTAAACTTATTATCCTCCCCTCCCGCCCCTCTTTCTATGCTCTACTTTATGGGAAAAAAGTTACCAATCAAAACCCACATTTAAGGTGGGTGGGAAGGAGAGCGAGTTAAGCTCCCCCTACTTGAAGGAGGGGGAGTATCTATATAAATTATTTGGATTTTCCTGTGAAAGCCCTCATTTTTAACCCACTATTCTATATTGCTACTGACACCCTATCCTTTCTTACCTTTTTGGCATATTACTCATGTGCAGTAATTTTAAAACACAATTCTTAACTAATTTCCTGCTTTATCAAAGGTCCAAATATATGTTAGAATTAAATGTGACAACCAATAAATTTGTTTAAAATTATTTTCCACCACAACTGTAGACTATGTCACTAAGGGATGAATTAGAAACCAATTTTTCTTACAGGCATTCTGTAAAGAACTTACCAGAAATATTCGTTCAAGTTGATCCTGAATGTCTTTCATTCCTGGAAAAGCAGCAACTCCTTGGATCATTTCAACAAAGATGCAGCCAACTCCCCTACAGAGAGATGAAAGAAGTGTACAAAAACTTCAATATATTCTGCTTAGAAAACTAAATCTGGAATTAGAACATCTACTCCTACAGAGGAGAAACAATGAATACATTACATTCTTAATGAGTACCAAGGGCTGTGCCACATCTACTTCGATTCTGTAACTTTCCTTTCTCCTTTCGTCTACTGCCCTGAAAGGACTCTAAATAGATGCAACTATACTGGGCTCAAAAAACAGTGGAAACTAATAAAATATAAACCTCGGTGGCTCCTCTTACCTACAGGATACAGTCATGAAACTCCTTAGCCTGATACAGAAAGCCTCCACAGTTGTGTTCTAATATCATTTCCCAACTCGATTTCACAAACTCATAATATACTGTCCTTTCTAGCTGTCCAGGGGTTCTCAAACCTCCTTTTACATCAAAATCATCTGGGGAACTTTTAAAAACTGCAAATGATCTGAACACAAACTCCAGAGATTCTGTTTCAATCAGTCAAGGTTGGAGCCCAGGCATTGACTTGGGCTGCTCAGGTGATTCAGGGCAGCTACACTGAGGAGTACTGAGCCAGACTGATCTGCCCAGAGGCCAAGCATAAATCTGTAGAACTAGGCTCAAATTGCTCCACTACCTAGAACTGCCTCCTTCTTCATCTATTTGCTCTTGACATGTAAATCAAACCCAACCTCTCTAATCTTTTTTTTTTTTTTTTTTTTTTTTTTGAGCAAGCTTAGCCCTGAGCTAACTACTGCCAATCGTCCTCTTTTTGCTGAGGAGAACTGGCCCTGAGCTAACATCCATGCCCATCTTCCTCTACTTTTTTTTTTTAATATGTGGGATGCCTACCACAGCATAGCTTGCCAAGCAGTGCCATGTCCGCACCTGGGATCCCAACCAGTAAACCCTGGGCTGTCAAATCAGAACGTCCTAACCGCTGTGCCACCGGGCCGGCACTCTCTAATCTAATTTAAATTCCACTAAGGCTTCCATGAACATTCCAGCAGACAGGATAGCTCCCTTTATGAGTTTATTTGGTAAGTTCTTATTCACTATACCAGCCATCTGCTATGGTCAACTTCCTCTCCTAGCTTAGCCTGCCATGCTCACAGTTCCTATCTAGTAAGGTGGTCCAGCATATCAGGAGACCTTCCCTCCCACACAACAGCAGCCTACGTCTAACCCAAGAGGAACAGCCAATCCACAGTACAGGCAGAGAGTCAATCAGATACTTCTGTTGGGACTTTGGAGAACAAGTCACTTGGGAGCGGGAGGGAAAGAAACTAACATATATCGATGGAATAAGTCACATTAGTGGCAGAGAACTAGCAAGAATGTCCATCTTCCTGTGGATGAAGTCCCCTGAATTGACCCAGTTCCCATCTTCCTAAGGCCTGGATGTTCAGACAATCCAGTGTTTTTGCTAGATCTCTCTACCTTCTAGCAATTCTCCAGGATTTTTTTTCAAATGGCTCTACCTTGAATGGGTTTATGTTTCCCAAAAGTATCCTAATAAAATTATGAACATATTGGGACACTTCTTCAATTGTTGCACCCATATTCAATTTAGGGTGAGCAAACCCTTGTGTCTTCAACTTATTTCAGATCCTCTAGAGGTTAAGGACAGGGACTACTTCTCTGTAGCTGCCCTGGTGTTATCATGGTTGTACATAAAACAATATGTTGTATATAAAACAATATGTATATAAAATGATAATTAAAAAAGTAAAATATTTGCAGAAATCTCTTCTCTATTACACCACATAATTTCTATCCAAATTAAACATGAATAGAATATAGAGTCAAAATGACTAAAAACAAACAAATGCTACTTTATATCATAAAAAATAGTTTCATTAAGTAGTAAAGAATTAATTTCAAAATCAGATGGCTTTTAACACAAGTTATCATTTAAGATTTGAGAGACAACGTAAGTATCCAGAATTATTTTATTAGCATATGAAAATATAATGATATTCTTATAAATTTAGGGCTTCAGATGGCTGATGAGGTCTGGAATTTCAACTTGGTGGTTTTCCAAATTTTTATGCCAATAATCCTTCTCTAAGACTACTAACCTACATTTCTATTGTTTTCTATTTGTTTATGTAAAAATATCCTGGATCTTAAATAGCTCCCTGTACTTTTCCTTTTTTTACATTCAGAATATACTCCCTATTCATGACCTTTTGGTCCTAATCTTTCCCACCAGAAGCTGAAATTCTGAGTGTGAAGACCCTCAGCAGAAGCCACAGCCGCCCCCACTGTGTACCCAACTAAGCTAGCTGGTGAGGTAACCTTTACTCTGTCAGAAATACGTATAGAAATTCTTTTACCACTACTCGTGCTTGGTCTATATCATCTCTATAACATGATATTTACAACAACTAAAAGACAAAACTATGATGCAATTCTCCTCAGTTGGAATGTGATGATAGAGCATTTCTACAGGCTCTTACCTGCTTAGCTGGCTAAGGGACTGGGACTCTCATTTCTAATGGATGTTTCCTATGACATCATTTTTCAAAGATGCTTGAGAGTATACTAATGAAGCTAAGAGAATTATATTAAAGGATTTATAAAAAGAGATAGAAAGCACAATAAAATAAAATAGTGAAACTATAAAACCTATCAACACATTAACATAGCAGAATACTTTAATTACTGGAGTTGCCTTATTGCCAAACAGCAATAAAAGCCCTTCAATTTAATATGAAATGATTGTCGCCTCTTTTCCTTTTTTTTTCCCCTTGCTATCTTCCATTAGCTCTGTGCTCCCTCTCTCTTGATGGATTAAGTTGACTGCCCTAAATGGTTTACCGAGAAAAAATTCATCCACTTAAGTTCTATACTTATGATATATAATCTTATTTCAGGAAATATCTCCTTTAATTTGTTGCTTCTTTTGACAACTTGAATAATGATGCAATTATCACCCACTTATTCTAAATTCTTCAAGAATAAGAACTGGTCACAAAAGCTTACAATTAAAGCTGCCACCGGGTGCAGTATTTTCAAACTCTTATTGTAGGATTAGTTACCTGGCAAGGCAATATATACAATACTCACGCAGGCTCACACATCTTTCAACTCTTTTAAACTCAAAATTTCAAAATTTAATTTATGCCACGAATGCATAATTTTTTTTATCACAACTCAAAACAACATTTTAAGCAGAATTGATAATTCCTTGTAATTATGGGCAGAGATGGACAACTTTTTAGGTCAGAAGGTCATACAATTTAGGAGTTCTTATTTCAAAAAAGAATACAAAATTATGAATTAAAAATTGGGTACAAAAGTAAATTTAGAATGAGAAAATAAGTCAAAACAAATCATAAATTTTAAAAAGAATACGACAAATAATATAAAATTCAAAAAAACAAAGTAACATATCTATTAACTGTCTGACACACCTCTCTAATACTTTTCTTTCTTCAATTTTGGCTGCATAACCTTCAGTGACCTCTTCTTTGAAAAATCATATAATATCATTCTCTATGAAGAGAATACAGATATAACAGTCTTTCCTCTAGCATGATGATGCCTTTTTTTCTGATAGTACAGAAAAGTTTTTTTTTTCTTTCAGCTTTGCTTCTCATTATTGGTATAGTCATGTAAAGTGTTAGGACTGTTGTCAATTTTAGGAAAACTTCTATCAAGTTTCTTTTAAGTATGTCCGTATATTATAAACACAGTAATTCTAAAACATTCTACAGAATTCCCATGATAAGATACTAAAAGAGTATGAGAGGACATGCTCAGCTCAATGTGGAGAGCGAGGAGAAACTTAACTCCTAAAGTCTTAAAGGACTAGAAAAGGTAGATTATGGGGTGATGGCACTAGCATGAGAATGGGGCATTCAGGTAGAAAAAATAGAAAAAACAGGATCCACTCAGTGAGGAATCTAGAGAAAGTCAAATGTTGTTACGGCTCAGTGTGGAAAATGCAAGGAAAAGTTAAAAAGAGAGCAGAAGGCCATATTCTATGCTAAGAAGTTTGTGTTTTATTCCTAGGCTAGAAGGTCTTCCTTTTTTTCTGTATCCCAGTACTCATGGTGGAGGAAGCTCACTAGCTGGATATATGGGTGGAGAACCCAGACCACAGGCAGACTAGGAGATAAAATAGTTTTGAGGACAGAAGCAACTACAAGCATTAGTTGTAAATGCCACCTTGTTCTTTCCCACTCATGGCAGCAAATGAATAAGACTAACAATAGTATAAGCTCCGTCTCTACCCCGGGAGGGCAGGGAGGCAACACACAATAATGCATAGGGGTCTACAAACTACAGACTGTGGGCCAAATCCTGCCCAGTGCCTGTTTTTATAATGGCCTGTGAGCTCAGAATGGTTTCTACATATTTAAATGGCTGAAAAAAAATCAAAAGAAGACTATTTGGTGATATATGAACATTATATGAAATTCAAATTTGTGTTCATAAATAAGGTTTTATTGGAACACAGCCACACTGATTCATTTATGTGTTGTCTATGCTGTTTTCTTGTCATCATGGTAGAGTTTAATAGTTGCTACAGAGACCATATGCCCTGAAAAGCCTAAAATATTTACTATCCAGTCCTCTACAGAAAAAGTTTGCCAAACCTTAATCTATGTTATGCTCCACTTGCATAAAAACGTATTTGTAAATAGAAGAAATCATTGTCATCAGTTACAGAGTAAAAATTAAAAGAAATGACATATCATGATTATTTGTGAATAATTACTAATAGAAATGGGCTCACAAATATGATCTTGTTTTTCACTATTTTCCTCAGCAGTTTTTCTGTGATAGACATGCTGTAAAAGATTCCAAGCATTTTGCCAAAAATTGCTAAATTATTAAAACTTGATCAAAGATGGATATTTTAATCTTTAAAGTACTTTTTAAAAGATTTTATTTTTTCCTTTTTCTCCCCAAAGCCCCCCGGTACATAGTTGTGTATTCTTCGTTGTGGGTTCTTCTAGTTGTGGCATGTGGGATGCTGCCTCAGCATGGTTTGATGA